CCCCCCCCAAACAGTCTGCATGACAGCTATCTCCTTACTCCACTCCCATTAGTTGCCACCTTCTATATAACCCCTCTGTCTCTTTGCATTCTCTGTTTCAGTCTTGTTATCTGCTTTGTAGGCCTTCTTGTTTTGGTCCTCTTTCTCAGTTCACTTTCTATTATCCTTACTGCAGAGTGATAATTCCTTTTAGACAGTTTAACATTTATGATCTGTGGGATGACATTAAAGTGACAATAGTACGTATCTGCTAAACAGTTAGGAAGTTCTTTTCAAAGACAGAGGGACAAGAGTAGGTCTCTTTTGTCAGTATAGAAGGTTATTCAACAATGTCTGAAGCACTTCATGTTAACAGAGGAACCTGACTTTTCACATCTGGTAAAACTGAACAAAGCACTGTAAAGAGATACAAGTGGATGAAACTGCAGCAAAGAAGGGACATCATGACATAAGATTGTCCCCCCCCCCACCCAATTGCCATTTCAACGCAATTAATTAATATGGACAAACATAAAGGGGAAAGTAGCCAGGCAGAACACTGCATTAAAATTAATGACACAGAGAAGCTCATGAGAGATGTGACTGAACAGGCCATGCTCGACCACTGGAAAAAGGCTGTAGAGCACATGAAGATCACTGAAGAAGCATGGGTAATAGAAGTATTGCCTGAAGATACAGTAGATGAAATGATCATTTCAACAGGCAACAATTTTTCAAGCAATTTCCACTGGATTGCAAAGTGTGTACCCCACAGACAGTGACGGACTGTGATCTTCATCCTCTGGATTTATGACTCAATGTTAGGCCTGCTTTTGGTGTTGTTCTGCTGTCCATCCATTACTGTAGTTTGGTAGCCTATCCTCTGTACTGGTAACCACTCATTTTGTGAAAATTATATTATGATGAGCATACTGTATCTTCTCCTCTAAAGGCCTTCAATATTCTATATTTTGAAATTATAAACCTTATAAATTCTCTACAAGTGATATATATATGATGACAGAAACAGCGACATCAGCAGCGACTCGAAGCACAGAGCAAATGATGCTCGAGATGGTTCAAGTTCGTGCAGTAACAGGCATGACCAGAGTGGTTTGAACGGCTGTTGTACTGCGATGTGGAAAGCAAATGGAAAAAACTACCACATTATTACTTTTCCTGGATAGTCTCTTTCCAAAAACAGAGATACCACGTATGCGAGAGGTTTCCTCTGGAAACAAAACAAACCAGAGGGGCGGATAGAAGTGACCAGAAGACGAGAAAGAAGACGTAAGAAGATGCTGGATGACTTTGGGGACAGAAGAGGATATTCTTATTTGAAGGAGAAAGCTTGAGATCGCATTAAGTGGAGGAACTGTTTTGGAAAAGACTGTGGACCTGTCGTCTGACAGATTACTGATGAATGAATCTGTAACATGTCTTCAGTATTCAGGATTCTTATATGTTCATCTACATGTGAAAGGGTCTCAACACAAATGTTTTTAAATACTTGGATTACCGGGTCTGTCATGAATTTCCATTGGTGAATAATAAAATTTAATTTTATCAAAATAAAATGAAGTTTACCACATTCTTTCAATTATAATGATTATATCAATGAATGGCAATTAAACAAGACAGCTCCATCCTTCTGATGTGGCTAGGTGGGCCTGGTTATTTTGTGAAGTTCACTGATGAATAAGGTTATTTCAGTTTAATAAAATAAATTAATAGATCATTCACCGTTATACTTCTTCAATGACAACAGCTATTAGAACAATAAATACAAATTCGCCTGAGGCAGGACAGAGCTTGAGCAGCTGACAGAGGGCAAGATGTGCAGTGTAGGTAGGGTGGGGCAGGTGATACACTGTACCTCACACTACCTGTGTTGATCCTTTCACTGACTCTACTGTAGTAGAGGGCCTGTTGTTGTTAATTTCATACCATCACTAAATGGCAGTTTTAAATACCCTCCCTCCCCTAAATAATACCAGATTTATGAACATACAGTAAAACTTGGTTATAGCAACATCGGTTTCTGCGACACCTTGTCTACTGCGTCAAATATTCAATGGTATGAACTAATTCCTCATAAAGCAACTGTTTTTATACCTTGCTTAGTACGACATGCACAAATGCATCAACCTCGTATGTAACGCCATTTTCATTCCTGAATTTCTCTGATATCGTGGGAAAGTTCGATGTGTCTGCCCACCCTCACTTTCTCTACTTGCTGACATGACTGTCCTGGAAGAATACGACCACGGGCTGCAAGAGGAGCGTGGGTTTTATGCGGAAACAAGGGTGTGGGGTGAGACTGCGTGAATAGTGCAAGAGGACGCGGCAGGTTAACTGCATTCCTTTCCTAGAATCTCGTCTAACAGGACCTCACATTGTCTACTTACCCTATAGTGTTCCTGCCTAAACCCAGAGAAGTGCAGTAGCGAAAACATGGCAATGAAAAGGAAAGTTTTAAGCATTGAAGAGAAAGTTAAAGTGATTCGTGAAATATTGTGTGTATTGTCAGTGAAAAGCGCTGTAATATGTCTTTGATATTACACATTTGGGCAATTCCACGTTAATGTTACGTTAGTCTGTACTTAACTACGTATTTCACTAAAAATGCAATATTTTAACTCGGTTTTTGGTAGATTTTTACGTGATAACATAAGGCTACTGTGGAAGTGCCCATTTCGGTTACAACGACATTCGTTTATAACGACACTATTTTTAGGTCCCTTTGATGATGTTATAACCAAGTTCTACTGTATATATGATCTCCTAAACTATTAAATTTCATAAACGCACCACTTCATCAGTTACTCATATGAAAAGCATTTTAGTGTGTTACCATGTAATTANCACTATAGGGTAAGTAGACAATGTGAGGTCCTGTTAGACGAGATTCTAGGAAAGGAATGCGGTTAACAACCTGCCGCGTCCTCTTGCACTATTTACGCAGTCCCACTCCACACCCTTGTTTTCGCATAAAACCCACGCTCCTCCTGGTCGTATTCTTCCAGGACAGTCACGTCAGCAAGTAGAGAAAGTGAGGGTGGGCAGACACATCGAACTTTCCCACGATATCAGAGAAATTCAGGAATGAAAATGACGTTACATAAGAGGTTGATGCATTTGTGCATGTCGTACTAAGCAAGGTATAAAATCAGTTGCTTTATGAGGAATTAGTTCATACCATTGAATATTTGACGCAATAGACAAGGTGTCGCAGAAACCGATGTTGCTATAACCAAGTTTTACTGTACTTGTTGTGCTAAATAGACATTTTCTGAACAAAATTTGCAGGCTTTTATTTAAATACTAACTTACAAATTTCCAAAATTATGTGTGGAATGTAGTGTAGATGTCACTCAAAGGTCTGAACATGCTGAAACAGCTGAACCTTTAAGAGTCGGCATTTAAACCCCCCACGACTGCGCTGCTGCCGGAGTTAATTTGACATTGCCCTTTTAATATTGTAGACTTTCAGAAAAAACTACATATTTTCCGTTCTATGCAGCTTAGAAATACGAACTAAAAACCACCTGAAAGAGAATTGAATTTCCTACAATATACCTATGGCAATTTTTACAAATAAAAATTAACTGTGATTGTTATGTCATGAAATTCAAAATATACTCTCTATTATATGTGTAATGAAATTCCAAAAGACTTACCCATAATTTTTTCTTCAAACTTGAGACGTCGTTATATCCAAAATACATTGACACTATACACCAAAATGTTTGGTCAGACTGTACACAAGTTTCAACTCGTTGCGTCGTGTAAGTTTACGCTACTATAGATACTGCGTGCGGGAGAGCAGAAAGGCAGAGTTTGCTTCTGCACGTTTTGAAGGTCACACAGACCTCACTTCTCATACGCTCGTAGACAATCTGGTTCAGTCTCTCGCTTAGCGAACAAACAGGAAGTTATTGTTTATATCTGGCTGGCCGGACAGTGTTGTCAATGTTCAGTTCCAGACGAATCAATGAACAATCTTGGCTTCCCCAGAGAAACAGTCCGCCACTGACTCACAAGCTGATAATTCAGACACTCACTAAACACGTCACACTTCCTTGAGAGCTACAGAAGCAGTGATCTGCCCGCACAGAGGAATGTTGGGTCAGTTTTTCTGTGAAGAAGCTTCCACTCTGTTTGGCTGACCAAGTCACAAACAGTCTTACCTACATGTAAACGAAATCGAACCCAGTGCCATGATGAAGGGTTTCATTGTTCAGAGCCAACAACTGGACCTCTGACTTGAACTTGCGTGGGTTTGTTTTGGTTTCAAACTCAAGGTCTAACCGTCAGCACTTGTAAAGTGAGCACGTGTCTTGCGTCCAGTATACTGGACTTTCGGCATCTTCGAGGTCACAGGTACCGTCCGGTATACCGGACTTTCGGTCGTTAAAGGTTAAATATATGGAATTAAAAGGTATGCTGTTTGAATGATTTCCAAGTATTCTCCTCTACATCCTGTTCTCAGACACTTTCAGTCTATGTTCCTCCCTTAATATCAGAGGCAAATTTTACGAATAAACAGAAATACACACAATATTGTCATTCTACATACATTAATATTTATGCATTTAGAGAACAGATGAGAAGATAAAAGATTCTGAACTGAATGGTAGCAAGCATTACTTGAATTCAATCTACTCTTAATTTCCACTTGAATCAAATCCTGATTTGTTACTGCCATCCCCAAATATTTTAATTATATCAAATTTTCAAAGGATCTATTAATGTAAATTTGTCCCTGTGCTTAATTAATTAAGCACTAGGCCATGAAGACATATTAGGGAGTGGAGCTATAGCTCTGTCATTCTTGACCTTGACACTAGATGGAGGTAAGTGACCAGCTTCATGCCCCAGCTGCTTTACTCCTGGGGAAATTGCCAACAGTGCCCATTCGATAGGAGGCTGGATGGGCCCAAGAGCTGGTATGGACACCGCGGAGAAAAGAAAAATCTTGTCCCTTCTGGGAATCGAACACCAGATGTCCAGCCCACAGCCTCAAAGGATCTATCAGCTACCTTTATGTCAAAATTTTGCCCTGCAATCTGGTAATGAGACAACATATTCTTAGCATCTCTATGTTTCTTCTAGACCAACCTCCTTACTAGCATCAATCAGAGCTTCTGTGTTTTTCATTGTGGTATACTGCATGATAAATTATTTAATGTATGCAATTACAGAGTACATCATCAGGTTGACCTCTGATACAGACCTCTTGAATGAGACATGTTATGGATGTTTCTGTGGTCCTCCTTGCTAGTTATTGGGTCACCATCTTCATTGAGGTTCACATCAGTCCAGCTCTCATCATTGGAAGCAGGTTTATTGTCATCTAAGAGAATTTCATTGTCCATACTGTTCTCTGTTGTGGGATTTAGGTTGATGGAATTCACCTCCTCAACTGAATCACCACTCTGTAAACAAATTTAAAATACTGAAGCAATGTTGTCCAAAGCAATCAACTTTCACTCCTATAACATAAGCTTCTATGGAAAAAGGGAAGTCACTGTCTAAATTAAGTGTTATATGGTTAAATATTATTGAGATAATTATTTTAACAGAAGTAAAATGTATTCATTGATAAAGATCAGTCACATATTCCAAAATTGTAAGCATGAAGGTAAGGAGGTTCTGGGAAGAACTAACTGCTTACGTTCGTTTCAGTATAAACTGAGACTCTGATATGACAGTTTGAGTGGCCGTAGTGTTGGAACTACTGATAAGAGATATTTATTAAATATGCAGTTGAGATGGCCTCAGGTGACATGAGACACACACCAACACTGATGACAATTGGTTAAGGCATTCATGTAACATTAGGGGTATTACTGATGATAGGAATTTATACTGTACACCACTGAGAAGGCCCATGGTGGCATTATATACAGACCACCACTGATGGTAATCAGTTCAGGCATTCAACTAATATTAAGCTTATTACCTCAACCAACTGAGAGGCAGCGTTGGTATTACTGATGGGAAGGATTTATGAAGTATACCTTGAGATGGCTTGATGTAGCATAATACACCAAGTTTCATGAAGACAAGTTCAGGCATTCAAGCAATGTTATGGTTTTGCCTCAGAAATATGAGAAGCTGTAATGTTGGTGTTACTGAAGGGAGGGGTCTAGGATGTATTCTGGTGACGTGTCATACATACCAGTTTTCACAAAAATTGGTACAGGCATTCAAGCAACATAAAGGTTTTGCCTCAGCAACTGGTATTACTGATGAGAGGGATTTATGAAGTACACCGTTGTGATGGGCTCAGGTGCCATGATATACATGCCAAGCATCATAAAGATTGGTTCAGGCATTCAGAAGTTGTTAGGGGGACACAGTACATACATACAGACAGCAAGGTGGTCTCATAAGACTACTTCTATTCCTTCAAAATAAGGTACATAGGATAAGAATGCTTCAGAGGACAACAAAACAAGAAACAGCCTAGCCTTAAGGAATTCAGGTTCTCACAGTGGTGGTTATTAAAAGTCCTATCTTGACGGAGGTAACAGTTCGTAGCCCACTGAAAGTCAAGAGGCATTTCAGAGGAACATGTCATCTCCATCTTCAGAGTTGAAGAATAAGCCAAGCAAGAAACCAGCATAAAGCAGGTAACAAGCTCTGCTTGGATTATTCTATGACTGATGATGGAGGCAATATGTTCCTCTGAAATGCATCTTGACTTCTGTGGACTACATGGTATTATATCCCAGAAGATAGGACTCTTCAAATTAACCTTCATTCTGTCATTAATATAGTAAAGAGTAATGTCAACAGATACAATGAAATTTGATAAGAAAGCCAATGAATATTTTAAGTCAGAGAAATCAATAATACAAATCTTGACATATTCACAGAAAATGCTGACAGTTGCAATCACATCTGTCTAGAGAACCGACTAGCTGCAAGAATACATTCACAGAAACTAAAATACTGTAACACTATAGGTTCTCACAAGGGTGAATATGATGATTCCTGTTGTCTTGGATGTGATTCCATATGTTCTGACAGATATTAACCAATATTCTGGAGCAACATACCGCCACCATCTTCAGAGAAGAAGTCAGTAAATCTGAGCAGATTCACATAGCAGCAGACTCATATTTTTGAGGTGCTTAGTCTTAATCTCAACTGGGACACCCACTATCCTGACATGAGATTTTTTTTTGTGTTTTCCTCAAGCACATCAGGCAAATGCTAGGATATACCTTGCTTAGGCCACATGCACTTTCCTCCAATTTATAATTTCTCAGTTGTCCTACCATTTGAACCTATATAGTCCAGCTAATGACAGTATCATAAAATAACCTACTAGAAAAAGAGCCAGTGAACACAGTGGTATATTCCAAAAAAAGGTAATATTCAAATTACAATGTCAATGACAGTACAGATTTCTTAATGGCTATTATATTAACTTAACTATGAATGTGCACATTTAACCCATTTGTAGTTATGAATGGAAGATGGGGTCACTGGATTTTTTCAATTCACCTAATCCTTCCAGCCGCACTAATGCCATCCAGCTTACAGCCCATCACTATATTGAGCTACCCTGACTCCCATATTCAAATCGTAGATGCTTCCAAAAGCACGATATAAAATAACAATTGATCTGCAGGACTAGAATTCTATGCAAAAGGAAAGTAAACTTTAACTGTTCTACTCCCTGCTTTTATTATTTAGGTTACTTTTTCAGTGAGGATATGTCATACCCTATACAGAAAAGTCTATCACAAAACCAGATGAACAAAAATTAAGTTAAATAAAAGCAATTAAAGGAATATTTTTATTAAAACATTGTATTTCCTTTTACATACAAAATCTCTGCTTTAATCTGGCGCATCCCAAAATTTCTTAAAAACACAATTCCCACTGCTTGAGAGGATTACTGCTACATCTGCAGAAACGCATACATATATTTTATAAAAGCCACACAAGCTAATGTTTTCCTATAAATAATATTAAATGCTATGAATAATGTTTCAGTTTAAATAAGTGAAGAAAATAGCCTGAAAGAAACATCACGTGGTAGACACAAGCCCAAGCCCTGTCATTAAACATTTTATAGGCATTTTAATACAGAATTATTCAATGAGAAGATTCCACACACAATCAAATTATTAATACCTAGGTACATGCAGTAGCTTTGCAAGCAGCTCACCACAACTCTGTGGATTTCCATGCACGCTATATGTGATAAAAAGTACACATAGGAAAGTAAAATAAGATTAAAGCAGTTCTAGTGTACCTCAAAAGTGACTTAGGCAACACTAAAAAATGCAAAATATAAAAAATATGAAACTTCACATATTTTCACCCAGTTGGTTTCCATCATCATGAGAGTAGTGACAATCCTGTGCCATTTAGGTATGCTCTTCTACGTTAGGGGTACATTATGCAGTCTTGTAGGAGGATACCACAATTTGCAAGAATCTACTGGATATGTCTACTCTAAAGACAGAGGCAACACCTTCCTCAAAACACAACTAACTACGTATAAAATTACATACACTCTCACAATTTAGAAGACCAGAAGACCACTATCTTGAATTCTCCCCACCAAGAAAACTGCAAATATCATATGCCGTGGCATGTTCAATATGGCTACTAATGAACACCAAAGAACAGGAACAACCTGTCATCTGATTTTTGCTGTTATGGGGATCTTCAAATTAGTGAAATTTATATAATAATGATAGTTCAGTAAGACGGTAATGAACCTGAGTAAAGTAAACAGATAGATGATAAGTTTTGAAGTAAAGCAGACACATTATTAGTGATGAATGTTCTGGGCACCCATCTACTGTAACATGTAATGAAGTTGAGGAGCAGATCAATCAGCATATCCAAGACAAGTGAGGAATCAGTGCTAACAAAACTGTATCTAAAAACACAATTATTTATGGAAAAAGAGAAGCACAAATGATTTGAGACTCAATCAAAAACATTTTATTCTGATGCAATCAGAGAACTTGTTGACCACTGGACTAAAAAAAATTATGAAGATCAGAATATTACTTTGTAAAAATTTGTAATAAAAATGTCTCTAATTCTTTATTTATTTTCATAATCTTGGTAATTCCAGTCATGCAAGGATGACACACCTTACAAATTTTTATTTCATATCTTTGAAATAATCTCCAGCAAACTTAGGTCTCACTAAAGAGAAATTATCATAAGAGACTAAGATTCACACGCAGCAATTGCTTTCAACTGGAGAAATGAAAATATTGTTGCCAATGGCTTAATTTATATCACTTCACAAATCGTACTTAGCATTTTACTATGTGTATTTTGAAAAAACAAGTGGAAAAATTCTTATTTTAGAACTTCTGATATCCCCACCAAAAAGTTTGTGTTGAACATTCCTACTTCTTCTCCCCTCATTTCTTCCTGAATTTAATGGCATGACTGACTGATTAGTGAGGATGAGGACACACAGTTTTGAGATTAGGTGCTCCATCCCTCACAAAAGGGAAGCCCAAGATGTGTTAAAAGCCCTAAATCCTCATTTGAACTAGTTCATAAACTGGATTTCAGGTTCCCATAGTGGTGACTAATAAGAGTACAGTCTTATGGGTTGTAATGCAGTGTGGCTTGCAGAGGGACATACTGCCTCCATGTTCAGGGCTGAAAAGTAAGCCAAGCAACAAACCTGCATAAGCAGGTGACAAGTTGAGCCTACTCAGCTCCTATGGTCATCCAACTACTTGGCATTTCAAACCTGGAGAAGTTACTTTCCATTATTTCATATACTCTCATGCATTACTTTCAACTTTGAATTTTCAGTGTGGTGATAATCCTGCCTCTTCTATCAGCATGACATACACAAGCATGAATTATATTATTGTAAATAAACATGCTGAGATATGATGATGATGATGATAATAATAATGTAGTATGTAGACTGTTGTTGGGCAACCACCCATGAGATAAGCAAATATACAACAGCCTTTACTGAATATAGGCTTTGCAAACAAACGTGCTTCCACAGCAACACTTGAACTATAACAATGAGGAAGAGTGTTTTCTGTGTCATCCAAGCCGATATGTTACAAGTAGGACAACTTGGAAGCCTCAGTTAGTCACTCAGTGAGGTGAAGAGTAGTTGGTTGGTGAGTGAGTCAGTGAGTGAGTGAGTAAGCAAGTGAGTGAGTTAGCGGACTGCTGAGGTTCAGCCATTGTGAGCTGTTGCTGTGAGAAGCTGGTAGCTGAGGCTGGGGATAGTTCAGGAACCCAGAGGAAGGGGAATGTCTGCCGTTGGAAGCTGCTACTGAGCAACAGCTAGTAAATACATGACTGGACACTAGGGTATGTGCGTAATTGTGAATTGTAAAGTGTAGTCATGTGCTGTACAAAGGAGTTCAATAAATCCAATTACCAATCCAAAACCCATCCATAGTTATTCCATAAAAACATGACAACAATAACCAGTGCAAGACAATTTTATTCTACTTGTACAATGTGTGAGAGACAAGGCAGTGCTTCTCAGAAAGCCAATTACTGTTTCTCCAATCCACAAATCAGGAAAGGTTGAGAATAAGAAATGTGTGCTACTACATTTTTGGTTAGAAACAAAGTTCTGGTTACTTCTGAATGCAGATTTACAGTCAGCATAACTCTTTCAGGTATTTTAAAAATGTTCCTGCATTGTACAAGCACACAACAGAGAAATTAGTGTATGGGTACAAATGTTATAAAATGAAAGTGTACATACATATTCTGGAATGTGACTGGTACCGATAATGTTAAGTTGAAATTTTATTAAAGACAAAATCTGAGCTGTCATGTTGTTGAGACTTTGAGCTTTCTTTCAAAGTTCTCAGTTCTAGAAATTTCTGGTAGCAAATGAGGAAAATCATGAAAACCTCAACTAGAACTGAGATGAGATTCAAACTGGATATCTCTCAAATACAAGTCTAGAGCATGAGTGCCACACCACCCAGCTTGGTAATCCAAATAACAAAGCCATGAGATACAGAGGACCGATCTAATCAATTTTCTTGCATTTTTTGTTTGTTTTTGTTTTTGTTTTTCATATCCAACTTCACTTATAAATAAGTACCACAAATCCATCAGTTATTCTCTGTCTAGTTTAATCTTTGCTTAACATCCATTATTTATCATCCGTCAATATTGCAACACTCTTCCATTCACTACTCAATTTAGTTTAACATTATACAACTTGACACTACATGTTTCGGCCCCAAACGACCATCTTCAGGTGTCTTGATATGTTACAATTATTTTATTAGATTGTGTTAAAACTGCTACACTGTCTTAGTTCATGTTAAAATCACACGCTGCAGTCCTATTTTTAAGGTAAAACTAGATAAAATCCTTTAAGGTTTCTATTATACGCACATTATTTTGGTGCATATTGTTTCACCTCACACAGGGTGTCGTCCATTGTTCATAAATGTATGTCTGTTCAGGGTGTTTTGTCTCGGCAGATTGCTCCTCACATTTNTTTTGGTGCATATTATTTCACCTCACACAGGGTGTCGTCCATTGTTTTGTCTCGGCAGATTGCTCCTCACATTCGTAGCCTACTTTTCAGTTATGACTGTCATATGACCCTGGTTTGCGCGTTTACTCCACAGTGTGTGGTGTTGTCTTTACTAGTTTGGGGCCGAAACATGTAGTGTCAAGGTGTATAATGTAAAGCTGTATAATAACTAAAAATCTGAGTGGTGAATGGAATAGTGTTGCAATACTGATGGACAATAAATAACGGACGTTAAGTTGAACAATTGCAACGGGATGCTGATATACACAATCATTAATCTTTGCTGCTCCTGGCTGGGAGCCATCACTGTTCTGTCTTGTTGTATACCACATCCAGGAATATTGCACCATTACAATTTACTCAGGCAAGCACATGTGAGTCTGAGCTGTACTTCTGAGGGTAGAATGAACTAAAAATAATTTGAGTAACTGTATATGGTGGCAATGTATGCAGATGATCAATATAGCCAACATTAGCTGTTCTGATGACAGGCAAATGTGATCACTGAGAAAAGCGAGAGAGAAGAGGCTTGTATACAGACAAACACTGAAGGATTGCTTTCTCAGTAAATTACCAAACAAACTGACATAAAAATTAAAATTTCAGGTATATATTCACTATACATGAATGAACTGAGCACTTCCATAGCAGAATATCTGGAAGACTTACATACTTAACCTGCCATATGATCTCAAAGGTCTTATGAATGAACAGGCATGATTTAAAATAGCACTGAATCGATAATTAAATACACATTCATTCTACTCTGTTGATGAATACCTATTGTCTAGAAAATAACTTATGTATCTTTAAACAGCCTTGTGTGTAGTCACTGTGTATTCTTGGTTTCTCTTGTGTGAGAACTCAGTTGGGTCTGTACATATGTTTTGTATTTATATGACATATTCCACATCCTAGTGTCATTTTGACTAACAATGGATCCATGGTATGCAATACAATGTAATGTAATGTAACTTACAAAACTAATTTATTTTGTATCCTCAGTTTAAAAATTGATATGTAATACAAATAAGGCAATTATTATTGTAATTATTGTAATTACAAGTTATACCACTTATAAGAGGAATATTTATGAATATTAGTTTGTTATCCTGGGATGTACACTAGAAAAGAAAAGATAAAGTCATATATAGGGAATTTTATTAGTGACTGTGTTATAACAAAATGGCTGTGAAGAAATGAATACTATCACTTTCAAACAGTGCAGCCCTTTAATACAGAAGTTTGAGCTACACACTTAGACATATTTCATATACTTCTTAGGTTACCAAAGTTTTCATCTCTGTGACTAAATTATTTAAATGATTAAGGTATTTTTCCCCTCCATAAAATGCAGCATGGAAAATTGTTCTTACAACCACTGGTGTCTGTTAAGTCATCAGCTTCTTCACGACAATATATCTAGGGATATGTTTCATATGAATTTTGTGCCAATTAACCATGTGATATGGTTGACAAGCAAAACAGGTTTCAAGCTGTCACTGGCATGCAGCAAAAGTACAAAGCTGTGTTTACCTTATTGGAGTGCAGGTTAGGGGGTGGTAGTCTGGCATATCTCTGCACACCATCACTTGGATCTACATCGTAAGGATGATTTAGCGAAGACGCATGCGAAGATGCTCGCGACCTTGTGCTACCCTACAGTATTAGTAACAATTCCCTCTGTTAGATAACTATAAACTACAGAAATTTTAGAAAAAAGAGAGGGGTTGTTTCTTATTGAACTCCATTGGGCTTCTGTTACAACAATCCCTTATTTAGAAAAACAGTTTTTTGGTGTGCTTTTGGTACACACACCCATACATTTGAAAACCTATTCCAAACATGGCTCCCATTAGTCAGTAATTTCCCCCTATAAGTGTTTATCATCATTCTCTTTGACCAAGAACTTCATCAATTGTATACCAGTAGAATTTGGTTACTCAGTATCATTACAGAGGAACAATCTGTATGATACTTTCCATACAGAGAACAAGATGGAAAACATACATGCCTCTTTGTCTATTTTTTATATTTAAAATCACTGGAATATATAAAGTGGTATAGAATCAGAAAAAAAAAGAACGTTATATTTTTAGCTCCTCAGGAAAAAAGTAAACAAGCTTTCCCATGGCAATGTAAAGAGGACTACATAATTTATGAATAGGTGTATTATTCATGATGGATTTTGACAAGACTTTGTCTACATTATGTTCATTGTTTAGTCCTTTGTTGACCCTGTTTAAGCAGACTACATACCGGATTCAACCCTATTATTTAAAAAAAAAACACCGTATCTCACGAAAAGAATTGCAAAACTGACGCCAGTATGTAAAAGGAGCACTGCCCATATATATTGTTGTCATTCCAAAGTAATCTAACAGTACCACAACCTTAAAAGGTGTATTACCAATTGTTATATCAATCAAAGCCCAAAGGAATATGAATTACTGGTCCAGTATTAGTACTAGAAGAGCCAAGGCAAATATTCTATGCTAGTTAAGAGACAGCCATTTCATATACAGCAAAAAATTTAGTCACTAAATGACTAAGGAACCTCAACCATAAATTATAAGCAATGACACACCACACAACACAACACGTTCTCTTCTTACCTTAAGGGATGGTGGCCCACTAGAATGAGTGTCAGGATCTGCCAAAATGGATGAATTGTTCTCATCAACAATAATCACCTCATACTCTCCATCTTCCTGAGACAATTGCTGACAAAGGCCCCTTGGTTGAGCTGCAACATGTTCATTTCAAATATACATTAATATTCACAATAATTTTCTAAAAATCAACAATTTAAATTTAATCTTACAGCATATTATGCCTTGACATTTCATTACCACATAGCCCCAATTCAGGATGCACTTTGTACCTGTGAACACCTCCCAAGAAATTGACTGTGTATTATACACACACATTTCATTCTATGATATGCAAACACTAACATGCCTTTAAGTCCAAGCCCATTCTATAACATATTCCATTAGAACTTTTCACCAAAAATGAAAACATAATTGTGATTAGTACTTCTGAATTAAATGCATTCAACAATAAAGAAATATTCTGCATGTATGTTACCAAAGAGGAATAATAAAGCATAAACATACAAAATTAATGCCAGTTATGTTTAATACATTGACAGGTTTACTATTCAGTGACTACTACACGAGTGAAGATTACTGTCCTGGCATATGTGACGTCATGTACTTTGGTAGATCATGACCAAAGTTTCAAAAGAAGCTACTGACTCCTCCTCAGTGCAGAAGAAGAACCCTGAAGATGGAGGCTGGAAGTTCCTCCCATATACTGGTAATGATCTACCAAACTGCATAAAGTCACAGCTCAAAAACCCGTAACCACAGTCACCAATCTCAAAACTCACATTCAAGTGATGCCCGCCCCCCTCCCCACGCCAACACACACACACAAGAAACTCTTAGAATTAGTGTGCATTTCATATTTGGGGACCACTTGAACTTCAGTACAAATGGCATACTGTCTGTCAGTTTTTAAACAAGTTTAGTACAAATCTAACATACAAGATAAAAATTATTATACACCAATGAAAATATCGAACTTCACTGTCTTGTGGTTGTTCAGCCAAGAGTGCACAATACTCCAGATACATTCCTGTTGAGAACTTGAATACATAGTTTTAATAGTTTACTGACTAAAGAACACTATACCCCAATTCTAGCAGTCACGCAATTTCAGTGTGTCCCATGGCAGACAAGGAACAGGTTCAAATCCTGCTCACAGCACAGATGTGTGCATGTGTGTTTTCACCCCTAGGAATATCCTACATATTGTAGTGTGCAGGCCTGTTACAAGGCAATGATGGTGAAGCAAACAACGAAAGAACACCCGTTGCTAGGGAGTAGATTCTTAATAAGAAACAACTGAACAGCAACAGAGGAGCGGTCTGTGAGGTCCATGACAAGTTGTTAACTGCATAAATTCTGGGGAGAAGTGCTGTTGCAGAGACTGCCATTGAGTGATACATATGCCAGTTCACTTTTTACCAACCTTCTGTATTTTAGAGCAGGAAGAGGTGATATCCTTCTGTTATATACTTTTGTAGGGACTGAATGAGAAAATGAATGGATAAACACAGTGAATCTCCAGTTAAAAATTTTCTGAGAGACAACAGATTTGAAGATTAAAGTGAGGAATTCTTAACATTGAGGAAACTTATTTGGGATCACTGAAACTGAACTTTATATAGGGAAAACCTTGATATGAAGTATATTATATGGAAATTCTATAGTACAATAATTGTTTCGTTTTTATCTAATTAAATGATATGTGAGATGTCTTTCCCTCAATGTACCACTACAAAATCGCTGGTCATTGTAGCCGAGCATGCATTATCTTTGCTCGCTTGGAAGCAAGGGTCATGGGTTTGAATCCCACTCAGGGAATGGATGTTTAGTGTCTGTGGTGTGTGTGTGTGTGTATGTGTGTGCATTTTTCTGTGTTTGTGTATAGGTAGAGGCCTTGCGACAAACTGATCACCCACCCAAGGAGTCCTATGAATGTCCAAGATCTAGTAAACCAAAGTGAAACAGAGAGTTCCATGGAGGTAGGCCAAGGCCCAAATTGGGGCTGTAGGGCCAAAGGAAAAAAACCCACTACAAAATCTGAGCTTACCTGAATGATATTCAGTAGAATACTGACTGTATTTTGAAATATACTGATGTACCTGATACTGAAATCATGTTCCCCATTAACTTTCTTGGCCTCTACCCACATCTGCAATGAGGAAGGAATACTTTCTGAGACGGAAGCACGTGAAAGTCTTCCAGTAAACCACCCTTACCCCATGGTAAGATCATGGCTGGCAGAGGGGTCCTATAGTCCAAACTGTACTCTAATTATGACACGTGTCTGCTATACTTCACATTCACAATTTTATAGTAGAGGTAGCAACATGGAAATATTCACACAAGGTCTGGCCAATGTTGAAATACAAATCAAACATCTTGCATCAACACTTCTGAGTCACGAGAAAACCTCAGACACAAAAGGCACAGCAACTGTGTTATGTGTGGCTTCCAAGCATTTTTTTTGGCATTAAGATGAATTTTCCAATTTTCTCTGTCAGTCATAATTCATTTATTGCCACCATACACGGTGCTTAAGCAGGAACCGTACCTATGTATGCCAGGCTGCATTAACATTGTATACTCTGGCTAACAACCTAACATATTACTGTAAAATTAATTTCTGGTAGATTAAAGAGCATAACAAAATAAGAATATATATGTCATGCTTTGAAAAATAGCACTAATGATTACACAAAAAGGTCTACTGGAAACATCAACTAAACTCCATAATGAAAATTATGTACAAATAGTACATTTAGTGAAACATCTCTAAAAAAAGCCAACCCTTTAAAGGACTCTACCTGTGTGTCACAGATTGTGTTTTACGTCATTTAAGTGCCATACAACCCCCTTTCAAGGACCACTCCTATCCCTGATGAGTGACCATGCCTGGTCTTTACCAAATCAACTCTAAAAGAAATCAATTTATTTGCCAAGTAATGATTTAATGAGTTGTGGGATGAAGTTGAGAACAGTTGTAAAAAGCAAATTTATATGTCTAACCCACATTATATTAGATCTGTTTTTAAAGCCAACAGACCTGTAGTGCACTGCATATAGTATGCATGCACATATGCTCATGTATATGCAGGATTTTATTTAATTATTAACATTCCATTGAAGTTACCTATTGCATCTACTTTTCATGTAAAGTAATATCGAGGGCAATAAATTTGTGCAATACAGTTACATAATACGATGGGGTACCCAAAAGAAACCGAACTAATTTTTTGTAGGCAGAGCTTTTGTAGTACTGCGTTTTGCCGCTATGAGCCCATAGAGCTAACATTCCTGAGTCGATAAGCCGACTACCGTTGCTTCAGAAGGTAAGGACTAGTTTCGGCAGAGTTTATAGTGACAACTGTTTTGTGTGATCGTCGTTTTTGCAATGGCTGATTTTCGTGAACAGCATGCGGCGGTGAAATTCTGCTTTTTGCTCGGGAAAAGTGGAACAGAAACTCTTGAAATGTTAAAAACGGCGTACAAGGACGATGCTATGGGGAAAACTCAAGTGTTTGAGTGGTTTTCCCATTTCAAAAATGGTGAAATGTCAATTGATGACAAACCTCGTTCTGGTCGTCCTTCCACGGCCCGAACACATGAAAATGTTGAAAAAATTCGTGAAATCATCAAGGAAGATCGATGATGGACCATTGAAGAAATTGTGGAGCTGTCGGGAGTGACTTGGAGCTCAGCGGCCAGATTTGTGGCAGTCGGGTGACTGGTTTTTCCATCATGACAATGCCCCTGCTCACACAGCCCTGTCTGTACGACAATTCTTGACCAAAAATGGTATGACCCCTGTTCCTCACCCTCCATACTCACCCGACCTTGCCCCGTGCGACTTTTTTTTGTTTCCTCGAATGAAAAGAGACATGAAAGGAAAAAACGACGGAGGCGCTGTCAAGCATCTCAAAAGATGAATTTAGACAATGTTTTGAAAAATGGAATAAAAGACTAGACAAGTGTATTAGTGTAAGTGGAGAGTACTTTGAAGGGGATTTAAGGTTTGTGCTTAAAATTTGAATAAATAAGTTTAAAAAAAATAAGTTTGGTTTCTTTTGGGTACCCCCTCGTATATACGTATGCTGTTCCTTGTGCTATACTACCCAAATTCTTACCCATCCACCCCCTATTCAGAGACTACCTCTATTAAAGTTCACTTAAAGGCAGAACTGGTCAGTGGTTTTCTTGGAGAAGTTTCACTGTATGTACAAATACATCAACATATATGTACCAATTTGTGCATGGTTTTGTCTTAGATAAACACACCAGATCTGCACTCTTTAATGGCAAAATAAAGAGCAAAAATGTAGTTTCTGACTCCTTCCTGCACTCCAATATCCAGTTCAAAGGCGATTGTAAGGTTATAATAGAGTAATAGCTTATATATGGAACATTCATTACATGGTTACAGAATTTTCTTTTTGCTAGAAACATGGCTAAAAAGATTACAGCAAAGTCAGGGCACCCTATTTTTAAGACCACATTTGATTCTGACAGTATATATTTTACAGACAACAAAATATACATAACATAAGACATTCATCTCATGAAGGGTTGTTTTGTTACTCCTTTCAAGGCCAGGTTCAATCTGATGAGCATCCATGTATTGACAGCACTTGAAAGAGGTATATCTTAACACCTCTAACGGTTACAATGAACGTTTTCATTTTCTTGTGAGATTATAGAGAAACAAGAAAAATGCATGTCAGTGGCTCCTGACACATGAAGCAGTACAGAGAACAATACAATTTATGCAAACAATCAGAAATAAAGTTACACACTACATCATATATTTACACAATGTATGGAATCTACTAAAAATAATATCTTTTAGTATAAATTATAAAGAAAGATGGCAAATGTAAGGGTATTTGCATTTTACTCTATATTACATATGACAGAAGCACAAATTTTTATACTCTGACTGACAGTTGCATTGTGGCATGTAAGCATATATTAGTTCAGAGCAAATCATGGCCACTGAAGGGTTATACTCACAACATTCAAACTACAAGAAAATGCAGTGAAGCTCCATTAACTATGTACTTGTGTTTTACTTAAGGATAAAATACAAAAACAACTGTCCATAGTTCAAATTATTTATTACATTAATAACATTCTGGCAAGCTGAGGCATTATTTAATATACAGTACCTTTCTACAGTACCATTGCTAGGCAATGGCATGGCAAACACGCTATGAGGTCATTAAACAAGGAATGGTTGCTATGCAACGGCAAGTAAATAATGACTATGAGCAAGGTTTTACATGTGGTCCATGCCAAGGCAATATAGTGAGCACGAAAAGACAAGTTAGTTGAGTTAGTTGCGAGCTGTGAGATGGTAGTCAGCCAGCAACGACATTGGTCTGAGCGCAGAAGAATTTCCACTGTTTGGAACTGTAACCGAACAACAACTAGTGAAGACTATAATAGACTGAGACTTAGCACGTGCTAAAGTGTTTCTTGAAGTGTGTAGATTAGCGACAGACACCCTGTAGTTATGAATTATAAGCACTCAATAACTCCAATTATCAATCCAAACCCTGTTATCTACTCACTAACATTATGATAATATTATGTAAACAACCAAAAAAACCAAGGCCCTTATCCAGAGTAACATTAATCGGTTTTCAAATTCATGATGGAACTTTTGTCTGGAACTTGACTATACAAAAGAAGGAAGATGCTTCTGAGTAGGGATGAAATATAATAAAAATATATACTTATGACAAAGATGTATTCAATCAACACAAAATAATTTTCCATATTTTAATCTTCCTAATTAAGGTAATATGAGTATGTGATCATAAGTATATAGTTAGTTAGTTATTTAGAGAGGGTGGGTTTCCCCATGCACCGAGATCAGTTTGATCTATTGTGCTTCCCTCTATGATATTCTACCAGTCTCTATATCCTACCGGTACTGGTGCTTACCATCAGTCCCGCCCAGCCAGCGAGACCGGCTCTACTAGCTGAGAGGTATCTATAATGCTTCCCCATCTACCAGAGGTATTAGAGACTGCTGTTGGGGGGGGGAAACGTCCGTAATTTTGGCTCAGTGACCTCCTTTGGAGATATGAAGTTCTTTTACGTGTCGTAAAGCTACGACACGGGACCCATGGCTTAAAGTCCCTCCCAGAGGACTTGTTCCCTGAATTTTTCTGCCCTTAAAAATTCGACGACCTCCGCCAGGTATTTGAACCCGCGTACTACGAGTCATGAGGTGGGAACGTTACCTCTAGACTACGGAGGCCGCTATCATAAGTATATAAGTTCAACATAGAACACAGTTTAACTTGTATTTTGTGCACTATAGGAAAATACATAGGTAAGTCAATAAGTATGTTACAGATGGATATAGAACTTAAGAGTACTGATTTCAAAAATGCTTTTATTTCTCAACATAATCTCCCTGTATACTGAGGCAATTGTCCTATCGTTTCACAAGCCCCTGAAAACCAGCAGCATAAAATTCTTTGGGCTGTTGTCAGAACCACGTGTGTTCACACTGTGCGGCCTACCTTATAATTCATGAGAGGTTAGGTTTTCACAAAGTCTGTGCACGATGGGTGCCGCGCATACTGACCCCACAACACAAAATGCAAAGAATGGGTCTGGCATTACAGCATCTCAATCGCTACCACGATGAAGGACACGATATGCTAACCCGAATTGTCACAGGTGATGAGTCTTGGGTTCACCATTACCAGCCCAAGGCAAAGGATGCGTCAATGCAGTGGAAACATCCTGCATCGCCTGACAAAAAAAAGTTTAAGGTGATACCACCCTCACGGGAAATGATGCTCACAGTCTTCTGGGGTCACAAAGGCATACTGCTCGCCACATTCCAGCCTCAAGGGCAAACTGTAAATGCCGACTCCTACTGTAACATCCTCAGGAAACTTCATAAGGCCATTCAACGGAAGCATGCAACCCGTCATGCATTGTGAGGTAGACCATACCGTGTGAACACGCCTGGTTCTGACAGCAGCCCAAAGAATTTTATGCTGCTGGCTTTCAGGGGCTTGTGAAACGATGGGACAAGTGCCTCAATGTACAGGGAGATTATGTTGAGAAATAAAAGCATTTTTCAAATAAGTACTCTTATTTGTTTAAGCTCAATATCCATTTGGAACTTACTTACTGACTTACCCTTGTATATAATGGAATATTATACTAAATTGGAAAATCTAAGCATTCTGTTTCTATTACACTGAAGACAATTCTTATTAATGTTCATATTAATCCAGTAAAGTTTCAGGTCAAACTTAGAGCTTCCATTAAGGACTCAAATTCTGATACCATACACACTTCAGTGACAGTGATAGATGAGTAGGGAGTACTGTTGAATGATGACTGGCAGAAGGAAATCAAGTTTCCTGAAAGACTGCCAGGTACAACAGATCACCGTGGTCGCGGTGCAAAGGCCAAGAAGGCCTACCCCTTATCCATACCTGAAAGATTACACCTCCAGTACAATCTTGCCCACTGCAATTCTCACACAGACTGCTCTGGGCTTGGACCTAGCCACAACCTAGCCAACTGCATTATGGCATATTACATATTTATACTGTGGGGTTGGAGTTTGAGTCCCAGTAGGGTCCAGAATTTTCGTTCCTCCACCTTGTCCAGACAAGCACTGGAGTCCACCCAGCCTCCTATCCAATGGGTACGGGGGCTCCTTTCCCAGGGATAAAGAGGCAGGGGCGTGAAACTGACCACTCACAGCCAGCTAGTGTCAGGGTCAAGAAAATGTGGATCTATATATCCACTCCCCCATACGCCTTCATGGCATAGAGCTTAATTAGTTAAGCACTAGAACAACTTTACCTTTACCTTACATATTCATACAAAATACAAGCTAAGAAATTAATGCCTGTAAACTGCATATTAAAACGCCAAGAATTTAGATATAAATACTACAGTTCATTTAGCTATGTCTTTACCAAATCAAATTGTTATGTTCAATAAATAACACCTAACTGTGCATGTAATAAGTTATTTGTTGCTTACCATATAAAAGACTGTATTAAATGAAAGCTCTAGTTGAGAAACAAATCTGTGCTCGGTACTGTGGATTATGATTGGAGCCATGAAGTGAAAATAATTGTAAATGTAAATGTAAATGTACATCATCATAAGGATGATGTATAGTATTTAGTATTGATTAAATTATGAATTGTGTAATCAGGAATTATCTTCTCAAATGTGGGTTACAGCAGTGATTCTTAAGTTGGCCACTGCATACATTATTTTCATAACTAGTACAAAGAATTCAAAGCCTTTAGTTTTTCAGATGACCCACAGTCTTCTGTGCCAAAATGGTAAAGACTACCTAGCTTCCGTCCTGATAAAGGAGGCAGGAAGCCCTTCTATGATATTAGTAATCTTTACCATCTCCAAACTATGCTACACCCAGAAGATGATATAAAGAAAAGGTTTAATGTGTTTTGTTCAAATCTTGCAATACCCTATTATCTACACAACCTCAATAATCACAGTACCAAAGTTCTTTAGCACATCACTAAATGAAACCTCCAATATTTTCTGGAATGTCTGCATCAGAAACCTGAATACAGCAAATTTTTGCTTGAGATTTACTGGTTTACAGAAATAAAAAGGAACAGTGATTTAATTGTAAAAAATAAAATATAATTCACATTCACAAGACAACAGCAATTGTACAGCTTCAAACATATAAACAAATGAAGCCAAAATTTTCATAACTTAATGCATTATCCACATGCAATCAAGCTGCTTTCATAGTGAGAGCTGACACATCAAAAGCTTATATTAGTGGTTGCAATAAAAATGAGGAATTGCAAGGAGATGGGGAGTACATTTACTAGCATCCCTTTTTCGTAATGATGTTAGTCTTAACTTTTCAGCAACAGGAAACATATATATAATATGTATATACACACACACTATAACTGAATCACTGAATCAACATTCATGGACTGAACTAGACTAGGAATGACTGGCTGGATATCATTGCTTTACTTAGTGCACTATCATTTTCTTTTGGAGGCATTACTCATTCAGTATGAGATGCTAGTATGAGGTATGGCTGCGATTAACATTCAACCAAGTTTATGGCTATATGGAAACAACTTTACTCATTACATCAATTACCTTGATGACCAAGAGTCGAGTTTCTATGGTATCTAGTTGGCACATGATTGTTGTTGTTGTTGTTGATGATGATGTGGTTGTTGTTGTTGTTGTTGTTGTGATTTTTGAACAAAGGATTTCGATGTCGCAGGAAGGGTTGATGCTGGGCGTTGGGGTGCGATCCAGGTAGGAACTGAGGGTATACATGATGCGACCACTGGGGGAACAAAGGCCGTGCTCCCCCCTCTATATGCCAGCGTCCCAGAGAAACAACATATGCACACACCATTAGCCATCATATAGTAGAATAAGCACAACTAACAGGATTTTCTTGAAATGGTATATTCTTCTTCACACGCTGGACAGTAGCACTATTATAGTTTTAGAGCACCCAATATTGTGCGCTTCAACGAATCAAAGTACCCTCATTATTTATGCTCTTTAAGTATCAAAGACAGAAAATTAAGAAAAAATCTGATACTTCTAGCATCTGCAAGCTTGAATTTCATTGAAAATTATCTAAGTCTATGATTCATTATTCAATTCCACTAACAATTTAAGGCAACATTTTGAATCACAATTTTAAAGAATTTCAAAGGGACCATAAGCATGAAAGTGAATAGGAAATACAGGCTTATACAGTATGTATTTACAGAGTCATTGATCACTGTCTCTGATACAGAAATACAGTAACTTAGAATCACAATGGGGATACTTCAATAACTTCAATTACTTTCAGAGATCAATAAACTTTGATTATTTAATTATTAAAATGCAAGTAAGTTTCATTCAACATAAGAGAATATATAAATTCATAAAACAAATATGTAATACAATACTGTGATTTTTAGCAACTGACCTTCCTAAGATATGTCCATGAAAATTCAAAGTATACCATATCAAAAATATTCATTACAGAATAAAATTGTAACATGATGGTCTTGTGACTCTAAATGGCCTGTAAAACATACTTCTCAGCTCAAGAACATATATTTTAGCTTCTTAATCTACAAATTGATGATGCAACAATATTTCAGTTGTGTACATTCCTATAACCCCATGTGGAGAAAGGTTATAATACCTCCACCATAGCCCTGCGAGTTGTAGAGTGCGACAAAAGGGGGACCTGATGCCTGGGGGTATAACTAGGCCACACTGTATCTGGGGGACATAAATACATAGACTTGGTCCTCCAGGTTAGGGGTTGGATGCAAAGGCTGACAACATTGCTCTGTAAAAAAATTATTATAAAAGATAAAACAACTCTATCCAGTGTGACTGTTGAAGTTTTTACTACTTCAGTTCTTAACACCTTTACATGTTTCGGTCCCTATAGACTATCATCAGAGGGACATTGATACTCTTAGGAAACCACTATTACAATAGTTGTTCTGAATGTTAAAATATACACATACAATGTTTGTAATGCACAATATATACAAAATCCAACAACACAGCACACCACGAACAAACACAGGATGATATCAAAGAGCCTCCTTCTCAAGAAAGACAGGTGGCACAAGTTCAGCCCCCGTCAAGAAAGGCGATGAGAGAAGGGACACGACCCTATTTGGTTTATAAATTTTAACTTAAATAACAAAAGTTTTAAAAAACTTTAATATACCAAGAAAACCACCGTAGTTGTGGAAACTTTGTATGTGTATATATTTTAACACTCAGAACACCCATTATAATAGTGGTTTCCAAAGAGTATCGATGTCCTTCTGATGATGGTCTATAGGGACCGAAACATGTAAGGGTGCTAAGAATTGAAGAAGTAAAAACTTCAACAGTCACACTGGATGGAGTTGTTTTACCTTTTATAATATTGTTAGTGTGATGGACCAGAATGAAATAAATCAAATTTAAAAAAATTATCGTTGCGATATCCAAAGAAGTGATAACTGGATGCAACCTGGCATAATATTCTAAGGAAGGCTGTGGTTCAAAAAGGGCTATTTTGCCAGTGGTGGTGGTAATGGTGATCATGATGATGATGTTATTAGTATAAGTATAGTATCTTAGAAAAAAAGTAGGAACTGCAAGTATCACATTGTTGAAAGTCAGAGTATGACAGAATGGCTGAAAGACAATAATTTACAAGGAAAGATTAAAACATAAAATTTTCTTTGCATTAACTTTAGACATACTGTTAGTGACATACACATTGTTCTTTGTACTTCCAGATTAATAATTTTTGTATCTTTACAGTAAACAGAGTTCCTTAAATGCAACATTCTGTGAAACATTTTTAATATAGAAAAAAAGGACTTCACATCTGCTGATCAAATTGGTCTAATCAGGAAACATGTCTTTGTCATCTGTCCTAACTTTAATCACTAAAAAACATAAAAGATATTTTCTTTATTCTGTTTTAGGAACATGTCCTGAGGGGATATATGGCATGTACAGCTAAGTCACTGTTTCAATTCAGAAGTAGATGTAATTGAGTGGTTAGGTTCATAATCTGGTTGTATATACCTCCAGGAACATAATGTCTGGTACCTGTTCATTGACGGGCCTTGAAGACATTCTGCATGGGATTGTAATGACTCTTTCCGGAACTGAACTGGCTGCCAAAACTGATATCCTAACACTTTACTAACTAATTAAGCACATTAAGCCAGTTCTTCTTTAACTAAAAAGAAATATAAATTTATTCAAGAAGGTGGAAAGTCTGCTATCACATTTACTACCTTCAACATGGAAATACTAAAATTAAAACCTTCAAAGCAACACGATAATTATGTGTCAATTGCAAGCAACAGTGAGAAAATAGATCAATAACTGTAACTGATCCTAATAAAGCATATCATATAATAGCATCTGCAGCTATGAAGTATACTGAGCAGATTATTCTTCTAAATAAGACGCATTTTTACAGGTTCACCTCACTTTTTCAACTCTCATATATTTTAAAAAAATACAAATCATAATGTAATCAGACTATGGGTTTCTGGGTTGTGGTATCTTGCACCCTTATAGGCAGATACATTTTGGAGGACATGATGCCTCCTTTTTCAGTTGAAGCACGCAAGTTATCGAACTGGCTTAGTTACTTGTACACAGGCAGATTCAAGGTAGATGATGAGACCAAAGGAAGGAACGAGTCAAAGAGGAAGAACAATCCAGGCCAATGGGAGAGAGGTAGTAAATGGCCCCTTACAAGGGGGCACACAATTTTATCTGTCTACAATACTGTATGCATCACAACCCCTCCCTCAAAAAAAAAAAAAACCCACATACACAGTGTGTCCAGGTTCTGTTAGGACTGTGTTCATTAAAAATAGAAGACGTGAATTATTTTCAAAATTTCACTCCTTTTATTCAAAATAGTCTCCTCCTGAATCAGTACATAGCTGGAATCGATTGAAAAGTTTTTGAAAACAGTCAATGTACTCCTTTTGTTGAATCGCATTTTAAACTGTGGTAGATTCCCTTTGGATGTCCTGGATGGTGTCGTGATGGTCTCCTTTCATCGCCAACTTAACTTTTGGGAACAACCAGAAATCTGCTGGAGCCAAATCTGGCGAATATGGAGGATGACCAAGGACTGAGATCCCTTCTCTGGCCAAAAAATCGCGCACGATCTTCATTTTGTGGGGTGGGGCATTGTCGTGGAGGAGCGACCAGGAACCTTGCTCTCGATATTCAGATCAAATTCAAAGAATTCTCGCCCACAAACGATTGAGGACTCCAAGATAATAATCAGAATTCACTGTTTGACCTTCTGGCAGAAACTCCTTGTGAATGATTCCTTTGGAATCAAAGAAAACGGTAGCAGTGTCTTTACTCGACTCTTTTGCATGCGCACTTTCTTTGGTTTCAGCTTCTTTGGCTCAACCACACTGTACTCTGCGGCTTTGTGAGAGGCTCATATTTAAAACACCATGTCTCGTCACCAGTAACAATCGATTTTGTAAATTTTGTATCACTTTGGGCCGACCGTAACATGTCTTTGCAGTGTTCCACTCTTGCATGTTTCTCATCGCCTGACAGCGCATTTGGTACAAACCGTGCATAGACCTTCTATTTGCTCAAATCCTCGGTCAAAATTTGATGCACAGTACTTTTTGGTATTCCCAAAAGCTCCCCGATGAGTTCTTGCAGAAACACATCTGTCTGATGCAAGGATTTCGGTCACTTTTTTCACATTTTCTTCAGAGCGACTTGTTCTTGGCTTTGATGCACATGGAACATCTTCAATGTCCTCCCTGCCATCACGAAATACAGCATACCATCGAGAAATGTTTGAGTGACTCAAACAGTCACTACCGTACACACTTTTCATCATTTCTTATGCTTCTCTGGCTGTTTTGCCCAACTTCAAACAAAATTTTATGTCGGCTCTCTGTTCTACCGCCATTTTCCGATGAGCGTCAGAACAATACTGTTACATTCAAGGTCAGAACATATGATGCAGCGACGCTTGCGCTTTGAAATTATAGACAGCCACAGCTGAAACTTCAAGAATCTTAACGCCACAATTTGCCAACAGATGGCATTGCAGGGCAAAATTAAAAAAAAAAAAAAAAGAAAAAGAAAAAAAAAAAGAGTCCTAATGGATCCTGGATACACTGCGTACACACAGGATCTGAACAATCACTACTGCGAAAACCTCAAAACTTACATAAGTAAATAAATTCCACAATACTTTACACCAGAGTAAGTCAAACTGTATGTGCTATTAAAACAAATGCAATTTACTAAAATAAAAATGTAATACACAGNATTCACAAGGAATTTCTGCCAGAAGGTCAAACAGTGAATTCTGATTATTATCTTGGAGTCCTCAATCGTTTGTGGGCGAGAATTCTTTGAATTTGATCTGAATATCGAGAGCAAGGTTCCTGGTCGCTCCTCCACGACAATGCCCCACCCCACAAAATGAAGATCGTGCGCGATTTTTTGGCCAGAAAAGGGATCACAGTCCTTGGTCATCCTCCATATTCGCCAGATTTGGCTCCAGCAGATTTCTGGTTGTTCCCAAAAGTAAAGTTGGCGATGAAAGGAGACCATCACGACACCATCCAGGACATCCAAAGGGAATCTACCGCAGTTTAAACTGCGATTCAACAAAAGGAGTACAGTGACTGTTTTCAAAAACTTTTCAATCGATTCCAGCTATGAACTGATTCAGGAGGAGACTATTTTGAATAAAAGGAGTGAAATTTTGAAAATAATTCACGTCTTGTATTTTTAATGAACACAGTCCTAACAGAACCTGGATACACTGTGTATGTTTC